AGAGCCTGTACCAGGAGCTGTGTTTAGAATGTTCTGACAGGTAAGGTCTGATCTTCCTGATGCTGTACAGGGCAAATCGACATGACCAGGCAATCGAGGCTACCCAGGTTCCAGGCAGACTTTGTGGGCATGAGTTTGGTTGTTCCAAGCTGGATATAGATCTGTGGTTGCATAGAGGGACTGGCTGGGATGAAAAGGAGCTCAGTCTTTGAAAGATTGAGTTGAAGGTGGCGTTCTTTCATCCATTTAGAGCTATCAGCAAGGCATGACGAGATTCTTGCTGAGACTGCAACATCGTCTGGCGGGAATGACAGGAAGAGCTGGGTATCGTCAGCATAGCAGTGGTATGAGAAGCCATGCGAGCGGATTATTGAACCAAGTGAGCTTGTGTATATGGAGAAGAGAAGGGGACCAAGCACTGACCCTTGAGGTACCCCTGTGGATAAGCTGTGCGCTTTGGACACTCCCTTCCAAGGATCGCCCAGAGAGGTAGGACACGAACCAGCAGAGGGCAGATCCTGAGATGCCAAATTCAGAGAGCGTGGATAGGAGGATTTGATGGTTGACTGTGTCAAAGGCAGCAGAGAGGTCTAGCAGTAATAGAACTGAGGACTGACCCGCAGCTCTGGCAGCTCGTAGCGATTCTGTTACTGACAGTAGTGCAGTTTCAGTAGAGTGGCCCTGCTTAAAGCCTGACTGATTTGGGTCAAACAGATCGTTTCTGGACAGGAACTCAGAGACTTGCTTAAAGACTGTGCGTTCAAGTATTTTTGACAGAAAGGGCAGAAGAGAAACCGGTCTGTAGTTTTCAACCTGGGCTGGGTTTAGTGTGGGTTTTTTTAAGCAGAGGGGTGACCTTGCTTGAATGCGGTGGGGAACACACCCGTTGACAGAGAGGAGTTGATGATATGCTTAAGTGCAGCATTAAGCGGAGAGGAAATTGTCTGCAGGAGGCTTGATGGTATTGGGTCCAGAGGACAGGTGGTGGGCCGATAGTCTTGCACAAGCTTAGAGACTTCGTCCGCACTTTTGGGTTGGTGCCTTTGGGCTGAGTTGGTCAGGCTCAGAAAACTGGTTACTGATGGTTGCAACTTTTTCAGTAAAATACGAGGCAAACATGTCTGGTGAAAACAGATCGGAGGGTGGAGGAGGAGGTGGTTGAAGCAGTGAGCTAAAAGCAGAAAACATTTTTCTTGTATCTGTGGCATTTCATATCTTGTTCTGATAATATGTTGTCTTGGCCGTTTTCAGGCTGGAGGAGAATGAGACAAGTCTTTGCCTCAACTAGACAAGTCATTGAGGTCAGCTTACTGTTTGGAATTTTGCCATTTTCTCTCTGCTGACCTCAGCCCTGCTCTTTGCTCTCTTATGACTTCAGTGAGCCATGGACTAGGGTGGGTTTTGCGAGCAGGTTTGGACACCAGGGGGCAGAGCTTGTTCAGAGATGAGGCTAGTGTGGAGCAGAGTATGTCTGTAGCCTCGTCTGTAGAGAGTGCGGTAAAGACCTTACGGGCAGGCATGGCAGCCATTAACTCGTTAGACAGCTGAGCTGGCTTGAGCGATCGCATGTTTTGATGGTATGACAAACATGTTCCAGTAAGGAGATTATGAATTGAATAAAGAAGTGGTCTGATAGATGCAGAGGGGTGACAGTCAGGTTTGCTGTTGAGCAGTTCCAAGTCAGAATTAAATCAAGAGTGTTGCCAGCTTTGTGGGTAGGAGGAGCTGGGACCTGCGTGAGGTCAAATGAGGATAGGAGAGCATGGAAACAGACAGTGTCGACTTTGTACATGAGTAATCTTCTACCTTATCTCGACAATGTGAGCACTTCCACAGAATAGATGGTCGTTGAGAAACAAGCTGAATGCATTTGCTGAAAATATGCTCTTTTAAGGATGATATATAAAGAAGTGTGTGTGTGGTGTATTTTTCACAAATTTATTTTCCAGAGTGTGCCCCCCCTTCGCCTTCCTCTCCTCCCTGACTTCCTCTCTCACTACTTAAATTCATCTCTGCAGCATAAATATCCACCTCTTTTTAGAAGCTCATAAAAAAATCATTTCCTGAACAGCAGTTTTCAGACAAAACAAACTACCACTTGAGCTGGTTCACATTCCTCAAATATATCAAGATCTTCTTGCTCTTCTTTTATGTTTAGTTCCTTTTTTTTTACTCCCACTCTTTTCTCCCTCCATCACTTTAACTCTGAATCACGTTCTCCTTCCATTTCTCTCTACAACACTTTGTGTTTTCATTTTTTTACTTGGCAAGAGGAAAAAGAGTAACTTTCTTGTTTTTTCCAGCCAAAGTTCATCAAGAGAAATACACCATCACCTTTATTTCAGATGTCCGACTTTCCGAACGTGTTGTCAAAATAATGACTAGTGTCTCCGTTCAAACACTACAGGCTGCTGATGAGTATTGCAGCAGGGATCATCACAACACAACCCGTCCCTCAGAAGGATGGCTGGTGGCTCACTGTGGAAGGAACCGTCTCACCCTGCCTCTCTTCCTTTTCTGCTTCCTCCTCATCCTTCCCCATTCAAACCGCCCCCCCACCACCTCACTCCCCTTATCGTCACTCTGACCATTACTCCCACCTGTCTCAGCTTGTTTGTTTTGCTGTCTTTGTCTTATTTAATGCTGGCTGCTTGTCGTGACTTCAAATCCAAATAACAGAAAAGGATAAGACACACAAAATGAACACTCACACACAAAGAGACAGAGCTGTATACTTTGCACTAACATGAGTGACAGAAGCAAACAGCCTCCATCCATCTTCATGGAGGCTGCTTTTCATATTATTGATGTCCATAGCCACAGGAAAAGAGATGGGGGAACGCGTTCGGCAGAGCTTTGATTCAATTTCTTTTGCCCTTGAGTGGATTATTGTTTCACATGGGACATTAAACACAGGTGGTGAGCTGTTATTCAACTCCCTCATACCTGTATGTGAACTAAACCCTGACGTTTGATCCCATGAATTCAGACCCTCAACCCCCCCGTGCACATCTCAGGCTCTGCATTATGAAGGGATCACATTCTATTTAATTTGCTAATACAAGCACTCCCTGGCACCTCTTACACCACACCAGCCTGCGTGACTACTCTCATCTGATATCCAACACGCACACACACACAGAGCAGCGGTGTACACTTACAGGAAGAGAGAGTATGACATGCTTTTACCAGCGTCCTTTACATTCAGTCAAATGTCTGTCTGTTTCTTTCTCTCTGTTTTCTGTCTGTTATCTTGTATACACCCTTCCATGTATTCATGTCCACCTCTGAAACTATGCATTCATGAAAACGTTTGTTAAATCTTTGTTCCGAGATGACTTTTTGTTTCAGATGCAGCAACATAGTCGTATTGTACTCGTCCCGTAGAAAAATAGAAACCATCCAAAAGTCGCTGTTTTGAATTTAAGTTCCTCATGTGTAATGATTCTCTCATTGTCTCCACATTTGCCTGCTGCCCTAGTTGTGTTTTAAAGGCTGGTGTTGTCTCTGTATCCCCCTCTTCTCTCTTTTCCCTTTGTTTTCAAGCTTTTCCTCTTAGATTAGCCTTAACTCGCCTCTCTCTGCCTTGATTGGTTAATCAGGTTGTCAGGGGTAGACGCGGAGTGGGGAGATGCTGGAACTGAATATGAGCAACATCAGCACCGACATGCTGGAGATGCTGATTGAGTTTATCTATACGGGATCGCTGGTCATCGACTCGGCCGACGCTTAGACGCTCCTAGAAGCCGCCAACAAGTTCCAGTTCAACACCTTCTGTAGAGTCCTTCCTAGGTATGAGCAGCTTTGAGTGTGTACAGTTGTTTTTGCCTCCATCAGCAAGCTTGGATGCACATCAGATATTCCTAGGCAATCTTTTCTGCTACATGCAGCATCTATAACCATGTGTAGAGTGCTGGGGCATTTATAGGCAAACTAGACACTTTTCCTATAGCAGTATAGTGGTTGTTGCTAAGCCACTAAGTGATCAAATGCAGTTCTGACTGCACAGAATGGTCGTCTTTCTGTAAGCAAAATGAATTCCTGAGAAATATATCAATCAATCTGCACCCTGCAGCCACATCTTACCTCAGCCTCCCGTTTGTCCCAGAAAGTTAACAAATTATATTCAACGTTAACAATACTGAATATATAAACAAACCACAACTATCAAAATCTTCAACCACTCCAGTTGCCTTTGAAAAAAGCTTTGAATTTACCATCACCTGGAAATTTGTATTATGCACCGGTGCTGTTTGCACATATTTAATGAGCCATCAGGCAATCATTTGGGGAAGTTATAACCAGGGTTTAATCAGTACGGTTCTGTCAGGACTCCACCCTTCATCCACATGTGTGGAGACAGTCTGGAGCCATTGCACATGACGAGGATGTGAGTGTTTAATATATTTTTCTTCCAGTTGTCCTTGCTTGAAGGTGAAGGTGCTGATAGCTTCTCTCAACATTCAGACGCAAAACAAGAGCAAACTCTACTGAGCAGGATGACTCTATGTGCATGTTTGCCTCTGAATATCATTAGTGCTATATGGTTTGTGAATTAGACCTTGAGACGGAGCGGAAAGTGAGAGCAAATGAGGCACACTATTTGAAGCCATTAGCCGCAGCGATCCATTCTTTCTGAATCAGGCCCTCTGTCTTCACTGATAAAAGTATCTGGTGCTGCTGACCCAGTTGTTCTGGTTTTGGCCTGCTTTGGTGTGTGTGTGTGTGTGTGTGTGTGTGTGTGTGTGTGTGTGTGTGTGTGTGTGTGTGTGTGTGTGTGTGTGGTGTGTGTGTGTGTGTGTGTGTGTGTGGTGTGTGTGGTGTGTGTGTGTGTGTGTGTGTGTGTGTGTGTGTGTGTGTGTGTGTGTGTGTGTGTGTGTGTGTGTGTGTGTGTGTGTGTGTGTGTGTGTGTGTGTGTGTGTGTGTGTGTGTGTGTGTGTGTGTGTGTGTGTGTGTGTGTGTGTGCGCTTGTGTGTTTGCGTGTGCGTGTGTGCTACACAACCAAAACATTTCCCTCTCTTATAAATGGTGTTCTGTGTAAACAAAAAATAAACGATCACAGATAAAAGATCCTTAAATTGCTGTATTATAACAAGAGCGCATAGAGCATCCCTGTTGGCTTGGCGTCAGGGCAGTATGATGTAGTGTGTGTGTGTGTGTGTGTGTGTGTATGTGTTTAGTAGACTGACAGATCTGACAGGACTTCTTTAAAGTGGCCCAGCTGATCCCAAATCCTCTCCCTGACATCCAGCACCTCATGCCTGGGCTGTGAATGATCGATTCCCTCTGTTGTTGGTCCTCTGAACTGTTTTGAGTTATTATACATTTTGTCTCAGACCAATGCCCTGTTAGACTGAGAGTCTGTGCCACCTTCAGCTGATATTTCTGCCTGTTCCAGCTTTTATTCATCTGTGATCTTCTTATTGTTGCCTGAATGGTGTTGGGTCTCTGCCTAAATATGTGTCTCTCTCTTGTTTTTTCTCTGTCTGTCTCTGACCTGGTTTATTGACTGGGGGAGTGCTGGCTATGGCTGAAGCCATGAGCTGCACCGAGCTCCACAACATGACCAAAGCCTTTGCACTGCAGAACTTCCCCGAGGTGGGTAGAGAATGCTTATCTTTGAGGAAAAAAAACATTCATAACGTAGTTAAAGAGAGTGTCAAAGACAGTAAAACTGTTAGCAAACCCCTGTTGTGATCTGGTTGAAAGTTAGAAATAAAATAACACCCAGAGCTATCAAGACATGAATAAATCATTTTACTTTTGTTGGAGTTCTACATGTTTCAGGGAAAAAAATACATTTCTGCAGAATAAGAGTCTTTTGAATACAAAGTTACAAAAGTCCTTTTTTTAGTAAACCAGCAAACATTTTATTGATTTGTTAGTTTATCACCAGCAGTGAAAGAAACTCATTTCCATGCTTCCAACTCTTGGCTTTTTACCCGATATGTTGCACTTTCCTTTCTGAGCACATCCAGAGCAGGTTATGGATAATATCATAAAGTTTAAACGTGAGCCTTGGTTTTTGAAACACACACAAAAAAACACTAAACAGAAAACATTTAGAAATCTCAACTTTCTTGTAGCTTAAGAGAAGATTGCATTACAGAAAATAACATTACATGGAAGATTGCTTTTTTCTTCACTCAAAGGTTTGATATTCTTTTTATTCCTTGCAGAGAGTAACTGTAGATGGGAGGATCAATACCACTCTCGAGCATGTCCATGAAATATCAAGCTTCAGCAAAGAGTCAGTTACACTAAGCTCTCCTTCGAGTAAAGACAGGAAACAAAGGGGGAAAAAACAGCTATCTTGAGTCTCCCTAATGCACAGCTACTTGTCTACAGGCACCTCCAAAGCTCACTAATTAAATAGCTATGCTTTTTCTTCCTGTGATATTTGCAGCACAAGTCTCAGCGTCAGAATTACTCCCCTTTGATTACATAATGTCCCACTTACTTGGTAAAGTGTTTTCTGAGAGTGAAAGTTTTACTGTTAATTACACAAGACAGGAAAGTCTGAAATACAAAATACTTGAATCACCTCTCCATTTCCATAAATGTGGGTTAAACATATGAAATGAGATCTTTGCTGTGTTATGATCCTCAGGGTTTTCAAGTTTGCTGTTTAGTCCTTGTCAGATTGCAGTCTCTTTCATTTGCATTCAGCTCCATTTGCAAAATCCACTTGGTGACAGAGCCAGACTTTAAGGCAAAGCTAAGTTAACCAGCTGCTGACTTTAGGTTTATACTTAATGAACCAATATTAGAGTGTCATAGATTACCAAAAATGATGCACTATCCTTCAAACCCTGCAATCTTTGGAATAAAGAAGCTGCAGACATCTGGGAAGGTTAGTTTGGTCGCAATCAACTGGTCATTAAAGGAAGAATTTGGAACATTGTACACACAAATAAAGCAGATATGAAGTGTATCCTCTGTTAATGTCTCTCTGAGTCATGGCTCTCTGCAATGAGTGAGGAGTGTGAGTCCCGCTGGCTGTGTTATCGTTGGAGCTGTATTAACAGTACATTAGGTTTAAATGGACAGGACGGTTGGCTCCTCCCCTTGTGGATAAAAGTTATTTAGAGAAAATAAGAATAAAATACTCCCTTCTTATTTTAATGTCATGTAAGCGTTTTTAAATCACAGCCAATTTGTGTAAATTTACATACAATGTGAAGCTACTAGCTTACCAAAGTGTGCTAACATTAGACTGCTAACACAACATTTTAGGCCACAGGGAATTGCAGTTTGGGCCAAGAACAAGATTGTCCTTCGTGCAAACGCAAGGGGAGAGGGGTATGAGGTGCGTCACTGGAGGAGAGCGATGGCTTCAGTATGGCGATGGTGTGGCCAATCAGTTTGTTTTGGTATCAAGCTGGAGCGACATCTACTGGATCAAAAAGTCCTTCGTAAAAAAACATGACAAAGTGTACTATTGTAAATGAAAGATAAATTCCTTTGTTGTAAAAAAAAAAAAAAAAAAGCCTTATCAAATTATATATATTCATTGAAATTGCATCTGCTTATCACATTCAGCATGGGAATATCGGACCTCTTCAGGGAGACAAAGTACCGTCATATGTAGCTGTATATTTTGATGGATTGATTGACAGATACGTTTGTGGTAAATGATCAATTCAATGCTTTTTTATTTCTTCTTCTTAAAGATTTATTTTTGGGTGTTTTGTGCCTTTATTGTAAAGATAGTAGAGTGGATAGAGTCAGAAATCAGGGAGAGCAAACCTCCCACTGTTACTATGTGGTACAAAGAGATTTTTTCTGTACTTCCACATGAGAGGATTAGTGCAGTGCTGAAGGGCAATGGACCTTCTTGATCACTTGGCAACCACTCATGGACTACCTCCCCTTGGAGAATCTAGATTTATTGTCAAAAGGATTCTCTTACCTGAATTGGAAACCCTCTGGACTGAATACGGGCACTGGACATTCCTATTCAGGCTGAGGCTGGATTTAAATTTAATGGACTCTGGCAGGTTAATAAAACCTTGAAGTGAGCATGATGAGGAAATGGGATATTTTATGTCCTACTTCATTTGCCTTTTCTGGTTTTAATTGTATTGTCTGTTTTGGTTTGTTTTTTGTAGCTGTTGTTTTTATTCCTTTAGTCTTTGTACATGTCTTCTAACTGTTATATTGTTTGAAAATGTCTATAAAATTGTTATTGAAAAAATAAGGAAATCAGGGAGAGAGTGGGGAATGTAAATAAATACTCACCTCTTGGAAAAACGTCATCTGCTGAGTTGCCCTTCTACCACCTTCCTAGACACTTTAGCTAACTACTTTACAAACAATGAGATTGACGTTTCTTTCCATGGATCTAGCTCCGTGAAATGGCGATGTGGCGCAACGTCGAGCTTCTCACCAACAAGGATACCAACACTGTCTGTCTTGGCGTTTTGTCAAGGGAGGAGAATGGGAGCAGCTTGTACCAGGTGGACACACTGGTCAAAATCTCCACTGCCACTCAGGTAATGCATGTCAATATTAACATGACTTGTGGTGAGACTTTATGGGGCATCTTTTCCCTCTGAGTTTCAACAAATACTACTGTAGTACAATGCAATGTTACACCCAAATGTTTACTTTTTTTTTTTTTTTTTTTACTTTTACATACTTTATAAATCCCCCTGTGTAATTGAGAGACATGCTTCTCACACAAATAGGACCGAATTACACATATGCTCAAACAGGATCTATGGACATTAATGGAGAGGTGTCAGAGTTGGCCTGATACACAGAGCGTGCCAGAGCTGTTGGGAGGGTTGAAAACTTTCAATTAGTTGCCGTGACATAAACGAATAATAGTGAGTTAACACAACATTTTCATAGACTTGAAGTAAAACTAACTTAGAATTTTAATGTTATCATGACTTTTTGTTTTTCAGTGCAGGTAATAAAAGAAAGAGAGAGCTGATGAATGTTTGTGAAGTGTGTGTCTACTCTGAGCAGATCATACAGTGTACTGTTCGTGTATCATGAGACAAAAAAAATCGAGGTGAAACGCTTGTTCCCTCTGACAGGACAGATACTGTATGTCTGCAAAGCTGTGTTAGTGTGGTTGTTCTGTCAGCTCTGAGACGTACACACAGCATGAAAAAAAACAAACATGTGACTCCTTGTTCTCTCTGGGGGGGTGTTCATCAACTTTGTGCTTCAGATACAGCCTAACACAGCAGTTGTTATTAATCCCAGGAGTGCTTTGTCCTCACAATGTGCTCTATTTTTAGTTACACATGGAATTCTGTACAGCATCAAAAAGCAACAGAAACATACACAGTCCATTCTCTGATTGTTGTTATTACGGGTTTCAGGAATGGTACCACAGCAACAGAAATGAATTCTGCAAAATACAGGAATGATGACACAAGAGCATCAGGTTTGCCTTCCAGGTTGTATCTGAGGTGGGAGCTGAAGTGCTCACCTAGGCGTCACTGCTCTGCTTTACAGTCATTTTACAAAGTGAATGAAATTAAACTATATTTCATAATGATCATTAACGCTGTTACGTACCCCGTAGTTCTAGGGGATGCGGGGAACAACAAATTTATATTTACCCGGAATCAAGGTGGAGACCAGAGTTGGGTTTCAAAATAACAGTCGCTGTATTTAATGGTACAGGAAACACACAAGAAATGACCAGCTTTAGGTACACAAATCTATGAACAACTGTAACGGAGATGATCTGGCACTCCAGCAGCCTGCGTCGCATCACACAGATATGGCGCTGTCTTCCTTCCACCCTCTGCAGCCTGCACCCCGTGCCTTTTATTCATCGGCTGCATGCGTACACAGGTGATTCCACTTCTCCATCAGTCTCCCCCAGAGATGGGCGGAGCACCAACCTGTCCAGGAACTCAGAGAGGGAGGACACACACACACAGACAACACAACCCATAACAAACGCACAGGTTTGTATTAGGGTTTTGGAAGTTGCTAGAAAAAAAAAAAATCTACACAAAAGTGGTCCCACATTTTTGAGTGTGCCACATTGTGTTTAAATTATTCCTGGAGGCTGTTTATCATAACCATGGGATTCTTCCATGAGGAATCAATACGACTCGAGCGTCAAGAAGTTAGAGTGTCAGCCCACATCCTTGAAAAGATAATTGATCATCCCCGTAGGGTGACATCCATCCAGCAGGTATACAAGATGTCAGATCTTGAATTTTTTCATGGATTCAGACACAATGCAATGAATTAAAACATGATAATATTCAACTCTTTTATAGCAGCTTAAACGTGGAGGTGAGATTATTATCAGATAAATTACAGAGCTTCATCAGTGGAGGAGTCGTTCATTCAGAGTAATGACTCCTCATCAAGCAGCAAGAGAGGAAGAACTGCCTCGTATCAACTGGATCACACTGTTCAGACCTCCAAAATCAATGCTTCTTTATTGGCTCTCACTTTAATAACGTCAATTTAGATTTTTATTAGCTGTGGATTAAACATTTAGTGGTAGTGCTTGGATTTGTCATACCGTGAGATTATGTAGAAATCCATTAATGCCACTGAGTACTTCGTCATTAAGGATTAAGTGAGGCAAAAAAAACCCATTAAAAGCAGGTGATAATCTACATACTTTAGGTGGCAAGATTTTTAAAAAGCAAAAAGTATGTAAGCCGTTTATGGTGTGTGTATTATTTTTGTTGGAAAATGCAAAATAAATCCTATAAAAAAATTAAAAATAAAAGTTTTATGACATTGTGAGTTGACTGATACGAAATTCCCAACATGTCTGATGCAGTTTTTAAAAGAAAACTTGATCCCTGTCATCTGACTAGAAAAGGCTTCGACCAGCTCAGTCGGGCAGACTCCTGCAATCTCACACTCTAATGGAGAGGTGCAGAGGTGACTTACTGAGATGATGTAGAGGAAGAAAAAAAGAAATGGAACATTTTCCTCGGTTGTCTTAACAGCCCAGCGCACTGGTTCCTGAGATGAGACAACCAGGTCACCTTGCATCTAAAGAAGCAGAGGAGTGGAGGGAAAAGAGTTGGAGTGAAAAAAGAAGCAGAGCAGGACAGAAACGAGCGAGGAGGAAAAGTAATGGAAAAAGAGGCCCTGTGTTCTAATCTGACATCCAGGCAGCAGAGGTGTGATCGAGCTCTTGCTCAAGCTAAAATCATTCGTGTAACCGGGAAAAAGGACCGGCAGGCCTGTAGAAAGGACAGAAGAGGATGAGAACAGAGAGCGTGTAGACTGCTCCCATCATGCCGCAGGAGGAGACAATGTGACCCTGAAGGGTTCAGTTTTACACGCATGGTCCAGCATCAGCTCATCATTGCCTTCAGAGGGAGTCAGAGAGCAGCAGGAGATCACTCGCACAGAACCTCAGACACTGTTTTGTGCAACTTCGTGTTCATTGGGCAAAGTTAGGCTGATACTTGATGTTAACATTTTTAACATGATCTTTTGCATATTATCTAAAAAATGAAAGTTAAAGGTCCCATATTATGCTTTTTCTGGTTTTATATGCCCTTTAGTGTGTTTTCCAAGAGTCCTGTGCATGTTTAGGCACGCGGAAATGCGGCTTCTCCGACGTCCTCCTGTTAGCTGTAGCATTAGCTGCATGTAACGCTCGGTTCTAGCCCCCCTCGATAAAAATTTGTCAGTGTGGCGTCATTGTCAGATCACTGATCTAAGCCCATTGGCTGGTTGTGGCAAGCCCTGCAGCTCATGTTGAAGTTTTCTAGAAGCGTTCTGAGCAACTGACCAATAACGACAGAGCGGATCTGCAGAGCGTAGAGGGAGCAAGGAGGAGCAGTACATGAAAACAGACACTTTTTTCGGACTTTAGCTATTGTGAACGTACAAAAGTAGGTACATAGATTAAATATACGAACCCCAAAACGGGCATAATATGGGCTCCTTAAAAAATACTAACAGTAATGTCATTGTTAGCCCAATGGAAAAAAAAAACGTTCGTGAGAAATTCCCCCAACAACCACAAAAAAAAGGCAAGTAAAAAAATAGACAAAAAGGTGACAAGCATTTCATCTATTTTTGCAACTGCAAACCTGTGGCACATGTTAATAACATGCCAGGAAGAATGTCACAGAATTACTGGAAACCTCAGGTGAAGAGACTGAAAAGCTTAAAGCCTTCAGTCAGTTAGTTTGTGTGCGTATGGATTCATCTATGTGTCTGTGTGTCTGAGCGCGTGATGTGGGGTTGTAAACTGCGGGCTACAGAGTGGAAAAGTGGCATATTGAAGGCACTGGGTAAATAATATGCAATTTACTTTCTCTGCTCTGCTGTCACTAACATCTGATGGAAGCAGAAAACAGTCCGGACATCGCTCAGAGACAGAGCGGGAGCGTTAGAGCGTTAATAATAGTTTATTATGAGACAGAAAGACACTGAGGTTTGAGTTTTCCTTGACTGAAGATTTGTCACGCAGCAGGCGTCTGTATTTCTCTGTCTGTGGACGTTAGTTAATGGGAGAGTTAAGGAGCCGTTAGAGTGATCACGCTTGCATTCAAGAACTATTTAAAGTAACTGATGCTGAAAGACAGAAGAAAGTTGTTCTTTTCTGAGAGTTGCCACAGTTACTGTCACTGTACCACAGTTATATCTCTGTCAGGTGAAGTTATGGTTTTATAGAGCAGAGCTTTCTCTTTCTACTTGTTTTGAGGCACACTGTGTATGGCAAAACTCCTTATTAGGTGTCCATATTGGAATATATAGACACAATACAAAAAATATAAAAGTTATGAGTTACATACTCTGGTGATGATGTGATTTATATTTTGTCTTGGCACTTATTAAGGTAAAATAATCAATCGTTTTGCAATATTGATGTTATTATGTAGTTGGATGATAAAATGACCAAAGGACAGATGTGGTTGGAGGCAGTGAGAGGATAAAAACTAAGTTTTCCTCACAGTTTTACAATTTATTTACTCCTAAAATGACAAATGACTTTTCACACAACACTTGACATCACTTGTATTTCAGCTTTGGTTCGATACAGTGTATTAGAAATTGGTCGGGATCTGACAATTCAGTGATTTTAAAAATAGACCAGGACGTTTTATGTGGATGCACAGAAAGCAGTTAGTCAATATATTCTAAATAAGATGAGCAGAAGGCAGCCCCTCTTTTTTTTTTAATGAAGTCATGCTGAAATCAGCCTCAGAGAAACCACATTGCACCTGTCAGTTAATGCTCAGGGCAGCAGTGAGCGTCTGGCATCCACTTCATCTCTCTCCATCCCCCCTTACAGCCTTCTGGCTGACACACACAGTCATGCTGATATTAACACACAAACACATTCAGCTAAACAATTTCTTGAACCCAACTGAAGCGTCAATTTGAAGAACATATGTGTCACCAGAAGAAAGAGGTCATGAGTGTGTGCGCATGTAAACATTTACACACTCACAAGAACACTGTACTGTGGTCACTTCTGCTGAGTGGGTTTGTTAGCCCTCTGAGGCTGCACATCTGCATGCACTCTAGGGTT